ATGATTCCCTACATTTAGGGATTGTCAGAATGCAGAAAAAGCAAAAAATATGAAAGAAACCACGATCACAGCAGAAAACTACAGATTAGATATTTTTCACACATCTAAATGAAACACATCCTGATACTTACGTGTGAAAGGAAAGTTTGTTTTCTACAAGCTACTGGTTCTGTGTTGTGGTAATGGTTTTCTGTATGACTTTATCAGTATCTCACATCACTGTGGCGGAATTGTGGTTCACTCTTCTTTACAGTGTTGGTTGCAAAGAAGACGGCTTGTGTCCATCTGTTTAATCATGGACATCAATTTAAGGTCTGAAATTTCTCTGGGACATTGCAATATCTTGATGCTTTTGTTTTTCTGCCATTCTGTTGTAGATTTGCTGCTGTGCTTGGGATCATTGTTTTATTGCACGGCCCAGTCGTCACAAAAATGGGTGCTTCCATGTTCTTTTAGAGCAAAGAGGCTTTCTCCTGATAGTCCTTCCAAACAAGACAAACTTGTTTATTCTTCTTCTAATGGTCATGACCTTTAAAATTTAACATGCTAACTGAGGCCTGTAGAGTCTGAGAGCTTTTGGGTTTTCAGCAGTTTCGCATTGTTGCAAATTTTTGGAGTGAATTTGCTGGAATTTCCAATCTTGGGAAGATTATGGCATTGTGTTAACCAACATCTGAATGCTCTAAACCTCTGCTTTTATAGAGCCGGTCATACTGTCATGGTCGGATGGTCCTTCCCGGGGCGACCTGCCTGTGTGTATGTGTGTGTTTCTCTCTCTCTCCTCCTCCTCTGCTCAGTGGCTGACACACCTGCACCTAATTTGCCACTCAGCTGTCACTGATCATCCTTCGTTGTGGGCTGAGGTATTTAACTGTGTGTCCAGATGGCAGTTGACGCTGGATTGTACTGGAAGCTTGGTAGTGAAGTGTTTTTTGACTTGTAGCTTAGCTTTAGCCGGCTAGCCTCCTCACCTGGTGTTTTTGCTTGTTTGTAGGAGGAAGAGATACAGAGCTGGAGGTTGGAGAGAAGGAGCCCGCGGGGTTAAGCTATTGGAGGAGAACACACACTTGGATATCACTTTGGAAACTCACCTGCGCACCACTGGGAGTTTGGAGAAGATCACTGTTGGACTTTGCACTTCACTTTGTGTTTTGAAACTGTTTTTTGGGCACTGTAAATAAACGCACTGTGTACTTTGCATCCAGAGCTCCGCGACTGAGTCCGTATTTTCCCATTACCCGTGACACATACTTGCATTTGATTAGCAGTGCCTGACAACTTCACTTTAAAAGTAGAAGGGGAGGCAAAACTTTCAGCTTCCTGGCCCTCTTCTGTGGAGCCAGCTCCCAGTTTGTATTCAGGAGGCAGAACCCCTCTCTACGTTTAAGATTAGTCTTAAAACTTTTCTTTTTGAAAAGATAGATAGTTAGATTCTTCCCACTGTCGCCAACTGTTTGTGTGATTTGGTGCTATATAAATAAATTGAAATAATTAAATTACTTCTTACCCACTTAATTCCAGTAGTAAGGATGTATTTAATTTTTCACAGTACTGCACAGGTGAAAATATATTTACATAATAACTTAAACTGACTAAATGTATACATATTTAAGATTATACATATTGAATACATATTACCTCTGGTTTTAGTAAGCCTGACTGCATATTACTTGGTATTATTCAGCCATCAAACCTCATGGAATTACTCTCTCACTATCTACAGCATTTGTGGGCATTGGGAAAATGTCATATTTACTGGTTTCAGTTTTCTATGATTTATAGGATTTTAAATGTGTGAAACACACTGCCTCTACATCTAGCCATGATTGATCTGTTTCTACAGAAATGCAGGATGTTACGGTGTAGTGACAAATTAACACAGAACCCACACAAATGCAGAACAAAAACTATAAATGCCATATTTACTTTCACAGTGTTTATGGAGAAGTATACAAGTACAAGGACCGGTGTCTTTGTGGATCTAAAGAAAGCACATGACAGGGAGCTTAGAGCGGAACTGTGGGACTGCAGGAGGAAGTCAGGAGTGGCAGAGAAGTATGCGAGGCTGGTGTAGGACATGTATGAGGACAGCGAGACAGCGGTGAGGTGTGAGGTAGGAGTGAAATTTGGGGATGGCATTACATCAGGGAACTGACCTTCCTACTTAAGATGGTGATGGACAGGGTGACAGATGAAGTCTGTAGTCTCCTTTGACAACGGGTGTAGGGAGTAGTTGGAAGAGAGCCTAGGTGGAGGTATGCTCTGGAGAGGAGATGAATGAAAGTCAGTAAAAGCGAGACAGAATAGGTGTGTGTATAAGGAGACAGGTGTAATGGGGAAGCAGCAAAAACATAGATAAAAAAAGATAAGTGATCCAAAGCTGTGGACAGTGCACAAGAGAGGTGAAGAAAGGAGTGCAGGCTGGGTGGAGTGGGCTTCAGGTGTGATTTGTGGCATGATAGAAGAAAGACTGAAAGGGAGGATTTACAAGAAGGTAGGAAGATGTGCTATGATGTATGCTTTGGAGACTTTGGCACTAACAAAAAGACAGGTGGCAAGATTTAAAGATGTTAAGATTTTCTCTGGATTAGAAAGGAGGGCATGCAGAGGACTGTTGTAGCAGAGGGGGATGCTAGTGACAGGGTGAGATAATCTACTGTAGCGACCCCTAAAGGGAGAAGTGGAAAGAAGAAGAAGACTCACAAGCTGTTTGAGTTTTTGGGCACACAAAAGTTTAGACGTAATCTCACCTCGCTGAGAAACCCCTAAATAATCTTAGGAATGAGACCATTAGTTGAGAAAATGTTTTTAATATTCATGAGAAAACCACCAGAATGGAAAACTTGTTATAATATTTAATATATCGCCTCCCTCCCAAAATATTCTGATAGTTAATTTGTGAAATGGATACAGTTTACAACAAGCTGGTCTCAAATTTAGCGTCTGGAGGAAAAAAATCCAGGAGAAAAGGAGCAAATACTGCATCAGTCCTTATCTTAAAAATGCACCTGGTAGACTGATCATCAGGGCCATCTACTGAGCACTCAGAGGAACAACAGCAAGTGGCAGGATGACGTACATGACCCTGACATTAATCATGCAAAGTGTATAAAATTGACTGAGACTAATAAGGCTTCATTTGTATTAGTGTGTAATCCATGGACAGGCAGGGATGTAATTTTAATTGAAGAATGCTGGCAAGAGTGTTTTTTTTCTTGGTGTCAGCTACTTTCCCTTCCCTTTTTCCTTGCTCTGAGTCATGCTTTGCTGACTGGAAGGCTGTGTGTGTGTGTGTGTGTGTGAGTGTGTGTGTGTGTGTGTTCTTGGGGATAACCTGGAGAGGCAAGTTTAATTTAAAGCCCAATTAAAGGCCAAATTAAAGAGCCCTTATACATGTACGCTAATGCTCTCTTACATGAGTATTAACACAAATTTATTCAGTGTTGTCTATATTAAGTAGCTGCGCCTCTACAGTGTAATGCAGTCAAATCCATAAATGCCATGAATGGGACTTGATTACACCGACACTGTGAAAATATGTAGGGTAAAACCTGTGATGTATATGTGAAGAAGGAAACTCAAATGCATTACAACACTTCAAAACTTAGTTTCAATCTTCAAAAGCCTTTAAATGCTTTTGATTCTGTTTGAGATGGGTGTTGTTCCAAAAAGCAATCATCTGATTTCTGTATGTTTCCATGTTTAATGTCTTTACTTATATTTGTAAATAGACTGTGATCAATAGGATTTAAGAAGAGATTATACATAAAATATAGAAATTAGTAAAAGTATTTCTGCGTTATTGTAGCTACATTGTAATGAATCCAGCCCCTTTTGGCCACTTAAAACATCTTTATAGAGCTGTGATGTCATAATTGTTGCAATTTATGCTGCCTTCTTGGCGAGATCTTTAAAAAAAAACCCTACATTTTTAATGTCAATAAAACTTTTGCGCTGGATAAATAAAGGATAAATAAAAGCAACTATGGCAAAAACTAATTGCAGATTTTACTTTATGACAGGAATGATGTTTCTGTCTCAAAATGACTCGATATGCTCAAAGAGAGATAGGTTTGCCATATATTTGTATGA